GAGAAAGAGAGAGAGAGAGAGAGTGCGTCCACACGAGTGTTCAGGTCTTATCCAGTCATGTTTTCAAGAGACAGAATTCATCAAATACTTATCTTCACTTTTTCTTGTTCATCACCAGATGAATCTAAAAGTTAAATCAAGTTGTTTGGAACAAACGCAGATGAAAACATCACGTCTCTGGAGGAACGACAGCGGCTGAGGAGCTTCCTGTTCTTCGCTCTGAACTTGTTTTATCGTTGTCGTCTCTTCAGAACAGTTCCAGCCTGAATTCACACGAACTGGGTTTTCTGCTTCGCTCTGATTTCTCTCTCTCTTTGTTTTGTCCCATTTTCTTCCTCAGACTGAAACGTTGTTCTCTTCACCTCCATCATCTCAAACCTCTCTGCTCTCCACACCAGTGATTCATCTTTCATTGACTCAGGCCTGAGCTCATCAGCATCAGTCGACCTGATGAGCAGAGACGAGGTCGCGTCTCAACGAGGAGACTGAATCCCTGACGTCAAACTATTCTCTGGCCCGAGATGAAAACGGGAAAATATGAAAACTCTAAATATTCAGCGGCTCGTGATAAAACGTCCTGACGCCATTTTACAGAACATGATTCATTTTTACCTCGTGGAGACACGTGTGAGGATCCGTCTCCCAGGACGGACAGAAGTGCAACAGAAGACAACGGGAAATCTTTAAATGAAAAATAAAAAGTGTATTTACCATTGTGATTCCTAAACTCCAGATGTCAGACTTCACGTTGTATCCCTTCTGGTTGGTCTCGGGGTTGATCCTCTCCGGCTGCAGGACACAGAGTCAGACGACATCAGCAGTTGTCAGGGACGATAACACACTCTCCCGCCATCCTCTCTCCTACACACACACACACACACACATCGTCCCTGAGCACTAACCCGGCCCTAAAACCCAGTCAGCCAATCAGCAGCCGAGCAGACGGAGTTAAAATGTAACTGAGCTCGTTGAATGTTTGGAAACTGACGAGAGAGCAGAAGTGAATCTGTTCACTCATCTACTGACGAGTTACAGATCAAGTTTGTTCAGTTGAATCACAGAGATTTTATCTCACTACAAGGTTAAACTGCTGCAACTTATTAAACAACTTAAATAAATGACATCATCTTACCGCCATGTAGGGTTTGCAGCCGGCGTCCATGGTTTTAGCCACGGAGTCGACCAGGTAGCCGCTGATGCCGAAGTCGCACATCTTCACCTGACCCTGAGTGTTGATCAGCACGTTGGACGGCTTCACGTCTACCGAGAGAGAGACAAGAGATTTGATGCAACGAGAGAAATAACTAAAGACAGACAGAGGACAGAAGACAGAGGACAGAGGAAGGCTCTCACCTCTGTGTATGACCTGCAGATTACTGTGCAGATGCTCCAGAGCTTTAACTATCTGCAACAACAAAACACATTAAAGTAAAACAGCAAATCTCCGTCACTGAGCGAACAGCCGACGTTCACTGGACGTGTGTGATTCAGAATTTAGTTTTTTTAAAGCGTGAACCCACAGAGACGGCGATCTTTCCCAGGATGTCCTCGGGGATGTTCATGCCCTTCTCGATCACCTGCTTGTAGAACTTGTCGAGGGACGTGTCCATCAGCTCCATGCAGATCCACACGTCGCCCTGGAAACAGTGGACACAGGAAGTGTTTTAGTCGTGAGCGTCCGGTCACTGCAGCAGAACGTTTTCATACACGTCAACAACGGAGTTAGAAATTACAGCAGCAACATTTCACAACATTTAAATAATTTAAAAGACAATTTTTACATAACATGATTTCATTTCTCCGTAAAGAAGCTCAGAAGATTTAAATTGTGCAGATTTTCATGTTTTATAATTGTGTTGACATGATCTGGGTTCACGTCCGTGTCAGCGTCTGAAATCTGATTTGATTTACAAAAGAAAACAGATCAAATTATCAAATAATCAAATGAAAATTCAGCTAAAAACTTTGAGTTCTCTGTTTTTCAGTTTCTTTTATCGTGAGTCAAAAGTTTCTCCTCAAAAACACGAAGATATTTTTGTTTCAGATCCAAACGGCATTAACAGCTTTCTACGTATGATGTGTTTACACATGATGAGAAGATAACGATGATTTTATTAATTCAAGAATCTGCAGTTCTGATCGACTGATTCAGAAAAAACAGGGATAAACAACTTTATACTTTTCTAGAGCACATGATGACATCATAGATCTTAATATGATCAAATCAAGAGAAGCAGCAAAGTTTCAACTTCTACAACCTGAAGTCGTCACATTTTAATCTCCAGTTCGTTCTTTCAGTTGAACCAATGATGAAGGATTTCACTCGTGCAGCTCTCACATGCAGTAAACATGTATGTGCCATGTTGTTAGCGTGTTGCTACCTCTCTGAACAAGGCTCCGTAGAAGGTGACGGTGTAGAAACAGTCCACCGTCCTCATGGAGATGTCCAGGTCCATCAGCAGCCTCTTCTGCTCCTGAGTGTTCACTGTGGCACGAATCCTCTGAGAGACGACGACAGGACACAGAAGTTCAGGCTCAACAGTGAAACTTACATTCATGAGTTCATTGACTGGTTTGGTCGAGAGCTGACATGAGGAGTCAGATGATGATGACGATAGAATCTCTTTGCGCCTCAAGGATCTGAAAATGAAGCGACAAAGCTGAAGCTGTAATAAAAGTTATCGACGCAGTTCGAGCTCAGTCGTCTGAACAAACTTCAGATGGAACTTCAGATCTGTTGAAGTGGACAGCAGCATCACTGCAGAGGAGCTGCAGGACGGAGCAGCTGACACCGGTTCGGCTGCAGCCGGATCACATCTGTTACCTGTGAAACATCTGGAGGAACCACAGTCACTTTCTGTGCTTGAGCCGACGAACTGGATTTTATTTAATTTCTCGACTTGAGGCTGAAATCACGTCTCCTCTCACACAGTCGGTCGATTTCACACCAGCCCGAACAAACGGAACCAAACAGGATGGATGAGATTCCTCCTCTCACCTTGACCGCCATGATCAGGCCACTGGGCACGTGCCTCATCTTGTCCACCACGCCGTACGCTCCTCGGCCGAGCTCGCAGATCTGCTCCAGGTCATCCGCCTTCACCTCGAAGTTCTGCCCCAGACACAAAACACACAGAGGACATCAGAACCACCTCTGATCTGTGGGCTCCTGCAAACGGCATCAAACCTAAAATCTTATGTTCTTACATGATTCAAGCAAAGAGAGAAAAAAACATTCACTTTGACTTCAGTCCAACTGGAGCAGAGAAAACTGCAGCAGCTCTGCCAATGGAAAATTCCACTTATTTGATGAGTTTAAAGTCAATATTTTTACTGCCCGTCGGCCAATAAAAGACATTCCAGCCTCCCCACAATCACAAGTCTTCACTTCAGCTGTAATGTTCACTGAGGCGATTTTTACAGCCGACAGATCCGTCACGAAGCCGACGTCTGCCGAGCGAGACTGACGGACGTTACTCAACCAAAAATATAGAGCGGGGACGGAGACAGTGAGGAGTTATGTAACAAGGTCAGAAGAAGATACAGAGATGAAGACGTACCTTCTCTCCGATAGTTACACAAGCTTTGGAATCCAAATCTCTGGGAGGTCTGAAAACACACAAACACTTTTTATTATTTAAATCATTCGTTTTATTTTAAATCTCTGCAGAACACGACTTGGAGACGAGCTTGTTCATGAAATTTACTGTGAGAAAAATAAATGCACAAA